TTTTTTTTAATACCCTTGTTTGAAAAGCTGGACAGCCTGATTGTTCCCACTTTGCATGCAAAAGCCTCCAACAACAAAACATGTTTATACAGTCAACGGTAAGTCCATGCTGGCTCACTTCCCTGTAATTGAAAAACAATGTGCAGGATATTTCCTGCAAATATTGGCAATCCCAACACCTCCTGCTGATGTTTGTGCACAACAAATTTAACATTTAACTGCTCTCAGAAAGAGAAGCAAAAGAAAAACTCCCACTTTGGACGGCAAAAAATAATCTCCATACACGCAGGAGCCAAAATCTGACAGCAGTGTATTGAGTCCTGACCTGAACTCTGACCTGTGTTGTGTGTTACAGATCGGACCAGCTTTTTTTCTTTTTGCAAACATCAGCCGCTGGAGGCTTGAATCGGTCGTGGACGATCCCTAGAATAACGCTTTCAGGTTTGACTGATGCCTGCGATCGGAAGTCCAGCGGGGTCAGGAAAACAATGCCTTACTGGGATTCTCACATCCAGTTTTTGACCGCTCAGGTATGATTAATGAGCCGTTGTCGGGTCGCTGCCTGTTGAAAATCCCAGAGGAACAAAAGGTAAGTACCTCTGGAAGCTGCTCTGTTTGTTATTACACTGTGTCTGTGTGTGGCGCAAGAGGTTAAAATAGTCCTACAAATCTAGTGTAAATCTAGTGTAAACCTCAGGGTTTTTAAAAAAAAACAAGTTTTTTCTCTTTCCACAGGCTTTCAAATATGTGTTAATTGTGTATCAACTCTTTCCGTAGAGCCGTTAGGCTAATATTCTTCTTCTGTTGGCTCTCAGATAGACTAGATACTACATTGACTAGCCTGTTGTAGTATCGTAAATTGCTATTACAATAAATACAGCTGCATCCCCAAATGTATCTAAGGTATAATTCTAAGATGAGTACTGCATATTCACTGTTTATGTGAGGTCACTGCATTGTTTTATTTTCCTTCAACGGGTCATAGGATATTTATTAATTTCTCTCTACAAAGACACAAAACACATATATCATGTCCTCCACTTGACCACCACTGTGTGTGTCACCTTCACTTTTGAAGTTTGGTTGAGGAATGGCGAGGACCGTAGTGACCTGTTTGAAGATCTCAGGTTGCATTTAGGCTCGTAAAAAGTGTAGAGGTCAGGTGTGTATTCTGGAGCTAACCATGTGTAAGTGTTAACCTCACACACCCTCGATCCTCCTCCACGAGGTCAGGCGGTGTGAAGGTGTTTTTCAAAGCCTTTCATGCATAGCCAACACAGAATGAGAAGGCTGGCTGAATAGATTCAGCTTATTTACTGCTGCTTACTGTTGCAAAAAATGTTTTCAAGTATCAAAGGTAATACAGAAATGTCAGAAAATCTGTAGTAATTTTTAATAAATGGTTTAAATGCATAATGTAATTATGTAATATATACGTTTTTACCCTAAACTTTTTTTACATCTTTTTTTTACTTTCACTATTTTTATACTTTTCTTGGCATCTAAACAACAATCTAAATTTTTTACATGACCAGAAAAGATTAGTCTGCTTTTTACACTGTGCTCGTGGAAAAAATACCTATGCCTTCATATTGTGAAAGCTCCAGTTATGGACCCTTCATTGTCAGTATTTTTGTACTAAGGGCAAAGGTTTGCAGCATATAACAGAGGGATCCTTTCTTTGCCTGACATGGCATTTTTCCAAGAACTGTACCTTTTGAAATGGGAAAGAAGCCCTTATTATTGGTGAATGTTGACAGACCCATCAAGAGTAACACTGTAGAGTGACAGTAGGTTTATAATATAGGATCATTTCAATGTTCCTATATTGCAAATCAGTCAATGTTTATATGATTTTTCTTTTTTTTATATGTGTTACTAGACATATATGAAGAAAAAATTAAACCATCAATTTTGGCCTGATTTTTAGTACAGATGTGTCGCATGTGCTTTCGAAGTTGGGGCTGGGAACCGACACTCTGCCTGGCCAGTGCTAGATGGCAGATATGTGGGCAAGTGAATGAGAAAAAAAGATAGCGTCACACCCAAGTAATTTTAAGGCGTCGGGACACAGATGCACCTAAAGGGAAGTTAATACCTACTGGAATGGGACTTTAAAACTCCTGTTTCCTGTCTCTAATCATCATTGGAAAATTTGCATCCATTGATGCCAGGGAGAACCACACAGACTAAGAGAGGTGCTTGTTATGCTTTGGGAAAAAAAAAAAAAACTTGTTGCACTGGGTGTGATGCACATCAGTCTGGTCTTAGTAGTGTACAGAAATCTGACTAAACAAATGAGCTGAAACAGAACATCCTGCACTACACCCCTGAATACAATGTGGCTTTTTGAACTGAGAATGAATGGCTGCTATTTTAAAGTCATCATTATGTCCAAGTAGAGACTTTTGCCATGTGCTATGCTCTACCAACAACAAAAAAAGGTGAGCAGGGCACACATTGTTTGAACCATAAACATAAACTTGCTTTTTGAGTTTCACTTCAATATTGCAGGAGAACTACTTGGTGATTTTTTTTTAGATGAGACACCTTAAGAATATTTGCCACAGTTCATCCTGCTGCAGTGTATCTATAGAAAAAGGAGACAGATGTCTGTACATACAGTAATAGCCGATGTCACAACATAGCCTTCATGAAAGGAAAAAGGTCTTGATTCACATTGTGTGTGTTTTCTCTGGTTTGTCTGTCAGGAAATGATCCAGGTTGAAGTTGGGGCCATAGTTATTGTGTGCATGTGTGTGTTTGTGTGTGTGTGTGTGAGACAGTGACAAAATAATCACTGTTCTACCTAAACTTTCTATGATAAGTGGGCTCCCGATGGCAGAATCTTTGCCTTTATGGCCATTTCTATTGTTGATAAGTACACATCTAGAAGCCAGAGGTTAGTGTGCACACCCAAAATCTTCCTACTTGTTGAGGTTGAAGATCACACTACAGCTGATAAACTAAAGCATATTCATCTTATTTCCCAAAATAGAAGACACACCACACCTTTTGGCCACGGAGACTCAGAAAACGACCTTTTGCTCTAACTCTGTTCTGAAATTGAATGGACCCACTCACAAAGTTTTGTTTCATTTCAAGGATTTCTGTGTTTGTTGTTACATCACTTCTTTTTTTTTTTTTGGGCCCGGTTCATGTGCTGTTGAGTCTTTGTTTACTGAACAGCTGGACTTTTCAGACAGGAGATTGAGCCTCTTCTCTTGCTGTGCTAACAATGTGAAGATCACAACGCAACGCCTCTCTGCAAAGGTGAAAGAGAAGCCGGACGCTCCATTTCTTTACCTTTCTCGAAATGTTTTGGAACACTAGAAGTTTGCTGAGACACGGGAGGCCTTTACATATGCCTTGGCACAGAGTTTAAACATGAGTGTTGAGCCAGTGCTTCCCAGCTTTGGTTCCTATCCAAAAAAAGTCGAAGCAGCTGTGTTTGGACAGACAGGGATTCTTTCGGCCTTTGGTGTGCAGAGGAAAAGCAGGATAGTTCAAGATAGGAATGACATCTGTTTTCTGTCCATTGTGCATTACAGAGAGAGATGGAACACAGAAATCCAGGGTGTGATAAAGTTAGCAAAGAATATGTTCATTCACAAACTGTCGTTCAAACCCAGCAGGAGGGTTTATTCCTGTTTAGATCTCAGATCATTCAAAGGCTGAGTTTTCTTTCAAAGAAAGGACTACTCGATATCAATAAATGATATTGAATTTTTGAAAACAACCTCTTTTAAATTGAAGTCTAAGCTTCGTGGTGTGATTTGATAAACACTTCTCAGTCTGAAGAGATAAAAGCTGCCCTCGTTTCTCTCCCCGTTGTATTTGTGACGCGACGACGGGTGGCACAAGTGGGATCAGCGGATATTGCCGAAATGAATGACAGATAAAAGACGAAGAGCCAGAACAAAAGAGCAAAAGAGATGAGAGTGAAGTGAACTGGAAAGCAGAGCAGATCAGAGCAGAGAGGACAGTGTGATGAGGGACAGGAAAAATAATGAGAGAAGAGAAAATAAAGGGAAGTGAGTGACAGGAAGGAAGAATGGACCTATTAACACCGATGAGAAGATAGAGATGGAGATGGGGGGGGAGAAAAAGCGCTGACTGAGTGTTTATTTCTCTGCTCATGAAGCTCACTCATGCTCTGTAGACTTTTTATGTCTCCCCATAATTCCTGACAGCGCACACACTCACGTCACTCATTTTAGCTCCAAAAAGCATCGAACCACAGATACAGCTGATGAAAGATCCTCCTCAGTTCAGATTGAAAACCAACTCTTTTAGAGTTGATTTGTTTTTCTATTACATGCATTGTGTATTGGTCACGCTACAGTTTTTGCGACAACTTTTTGACCTCTTTGATTAACCCATCTGTCGACTGCACCACCAAAACGAGGCAGCGCTGACACTTGAGTTGAAAAAGTACATAAACAAAAGATAGCATGCGCAAATGGCCCTGTTTAATCCTGCATGGACTCTTTATCAGCAAACAAAAAAACAGGGAAATCCTCAATGTGACAGTGATTTAACAGTAAAGAATGCATTCACTCCCTCTGTTTTTGGTTGCTGTCTCTCGTTGTAAATTACCCAAAATACTCCTACAGGCCACCAATGATTGCAGCCCTGGATAGTAGTTGGTAATGGCCGTGGGAGATCTACCCGATAAGAGATGAAAACCAGTCTTTGGAGATCTGGTTTCATGGCACAGGGCGGTTTCATGGGCTTCTACAAAGCCATCCAGTGAAATCGCATCTACAAATCTTCATTAACCCTGATCCCCCTTTTAATAAAAAATGGAATTTGTATCTTGTTTGCCATTTTGCCAATGTTAAGTGTTAGATAAGAGCCATTTGCACTGATCTAATTATCCGTTACTCTTTCAAACAGATCAGTGTCTTAATTGTATAAAAGGTCAAAAGGCTCGGCTACCTCGCAGTTTGTATCTTTCTCATCCCCATTTAGCTGTAGTGAAAACAGTGTCTTGACATTTAAAGTAATACATACAGTTCAAATATATTTAATTATAACCGTATAGCTTCTCAATGACTTTATGAACAAGATTTTTTTCTCTTGTGGGCACACAAGTTTAGTCATGAAACATCGCCATTTTATGGATCTGGCTCCGGGGATAATGTGAACGTGAGGCGTGCATTGTATAACAATTTTTTAACTTATTTTAGAGTTGGAGGATTAGATATTCTATATCTGCAGTGTGACTGTGTGATATCACGCTGTAGTAGTTTGCCTAATTTAAAAGAAGCTCTTTTTCACCATTAGTGAGGTTCATTTGAGCAGGTATAAGCTGTATTTTTATTCATTTTGAGACCTAATCTTACTTAGTGACTGTTTTCAATCATTCAGTCCTTGACAACAGTTGCTGTGACAAAAGCTGAAGAGGACTGTCTCATTTACATATAATTTAAACCTAGTAAAGTATGCATAGGTTTAAAATGATGTTCTTTCTACTAATGCAAGTGAAGTCACACATCAAGGCTGCAATGTGTACAGTAATGGAAACTCATTACTCATTACACAACAGTGAGATTGTAAAATGATGAAAAAGAGGCTCATTTAGTG